ACGAGACGAGAACTACAGTCTCTGTTGTTGTGGTCATCACAGTGACGAGACGAGAACTACAGTCTCTGTTGTTGTGGTCATCACAGTGACGAGACGAGAACTACAGTCTCTGTTGTTGTGGTCATCACAGTGACGAGACGAGAACTACAGTCTCTGTTGTGGTCATCACAGTGACGAGACGAGAACTACAGTCTCTGTTGTTGTCATAGTGCTCATTACAGTGATGAAAGCTATAGTATTTGTGTTGTTGTGGTGGTCATCATAGTGGTGTTTATCGTGTTATTATGGTTGTCATCATGAAAAAAAAGAAGAGGGAGGAGAGGGAGCAAGGAGAGTGAGCTCTAGTTCTTGATTCTTGGATTTACCTTATGTAATCCCCAGCTGGTTGTTATGTATGACTTTTTTTTCCAGGTGCTACACCACTTCCCTTATTTACCGTCTCAGTGAATACCTGAAGTTCACTCCTGCACTTCTGTTCCTTTACTTAAATACTGGAACGAGTTATTCTAGTTTCTAGCTTTTGACTCACGACATCGTAATGACACGATTGCAAACAAACCATACCACGGGTGGGGTTTGAACCGCGACGGTCTGGAGTTTTGAGACTCTCTGACCGCAGGTTCAAACCCCACCCGTGGTATTTTTTTTTCTAGCTTTTCGTCTTCATGGAGTTGTTAAAGATTTCATCCAGAGGGTTACACATTATCTCAGATCCCCATTTTTCCGGATCCCATTGCTCTTCATGAGTCAGACTTGTCTAGCAGCGTACTGAGTTCCTCTTGCTGCTGCTATCCAGCATCGTTCTCTCCTCCTCTGAGAACACTTCTTTGAAACACTCGTTTAGATCCTCACAGACATCATTTTGATTACCTGTCAGCTCTCCTCTTCTTCTGTTATCACTTGTTTTTTTTCACTGTCACCTTCAGTCTGGTGTAGCTGTAAAGGAGTCAGCATTGACTTCACTTTTGCTGCCATGCAATTCTCCAACTGTTACTCCGTGACACGTGTCTTCTTACCTTCTCATATTCATTTTTGGCTTTCCAACTCTTCTCTGTTAACTTCTGTTCACTCTTTCCTGTATCTCTGCCATACTCTCGTTCTGTGTGTCATAGCCATTCAACATTTATGGTTGCTTCAAGGACTCATTTATCTGCTTCTTATCCTCTCGGGTAAGAATTTGTCTTCTGTTGCTTTATACTTTCCTCCTAGATGTTCCAATATCATTTTCATTGTCTTTCCTTCCAGGTTCCCTTTCCAATGGATAGCATTCAGAAATTCTCTCCTCCATATATGGTTCCCATTTTCGAAGACTGGTTTAATTCACTCTCCCTCTTAGCTCCTTTCCAGGTTATTTCTACCCCGTGATCATAGCTTAGGACTGTGGGCTCACACGCTCCCAGTGGGGGCTCGTATTTCGTCTTATATATATATATATATATATATATATATATATATATATATTATATATATATATATATATATGATTCGCTAGCTGGAATTTTGGGTCCCAAGACCAAGGTCTTCCGTTGGCTTACTTATCCATCTAGTAAAAAGTTAAAGAACACATAATGCAATATCTTATCAATATCTTATCAATATCTTATCAATATGGTGCCTCACTTACAGGAAACTAGATCAATTATTGAAATACCTGGTCCAGTATCACCGGTTCATCTCCCAGTCTGTTTTTTTTTTTTTGAGCTTAAGTCTTCCGTAATAAGTAATTTTGCTTTGACTTGGCCCAGTGAGACATGTTTGATGATGGTTCCTCCGTCACTGCTAGTCTCTAGGCCCTGTTGCCCACATTCCTGGATTAATCTCTGCTGTTAGGTGGAGGATTACAGCCTCTCTCTCTTGGTTGCCACAGTCGTGATGGCACCAACTATGAGTAATGTTGAAAACGGTATAAAATACCGACAAGTTGATGAGCAAGACACATGTTCAGCAGTTGGGTATTTTTATTTTTGAAACATTTCAACTATACAGTAGACATCTTCAGTCAAATACAGAGGCAGCAGGTGCAGTAGCGAAGTAAAGATAATTTAATCAGTTCATTACCCTTGGAAAAATAGTATTTGAGGTGGTCAGTCCCTAAACTCTTCTCCAGGCTGAGGGACTGACCCCCTCAAATACTGTTTACCCAACGCTGATGGACTGATTACATCATCTGTACTTCGCTACTACACCTGCTGTCTCTCTGACTGAAGAATTTTACTGTGTAAGCGAAAAGTTTCAACAATAAAGACTTCCAACGGTTGCACGTGTCTTATTCATCAACTACGAGATACTTATCCTCACTGCTTCCTCTCTTTCTTTGCTTGAAACCCCACAGGTTTCTCGCTCGGTTTTAATTCTTTATTCCATTTTCATTTTTCTCCCTATTGACAGTATTGAATGATATTTTGTGTTAATTTGTCTCAAAGGTGATGTCTGGCACTGCCTGCTTGTTAAAGGTGATGTCTGGCACTGCCTGCTTGTTAAAGATAATGTCTGGCACTGCCTGCTTGTTAAAGGTGATGTCTGGCACTGCCTGCTTGTTAAAGATAATGTCTGGCACTGCCTGCTTGTTAAAGATAATGTCTGGCACTGCCTGCTTGTTAAAGGTGATGTCTGGCACTGCCTGCTTGTTAAAGATAATTTCTGGCACTGCCTGCTTGTTAAAGATAATGTCTGGCACTGCCTGCTTGTTAAAGATGATGTCTGGCACTGCCTGCTTGTTAAAGATGATGTCTGGCACTGCCTGCTTGTTAAAGATAATGTCTGGCACTGCCTGCTTGTTAAAGATAATGTCTGGCACTGCCTGCTTGTTAGAGATAATGTCTGGCACTGCCTGCTTGTTAAAGATGATGTCTGGCACTGCCTGCTTGTTAAAGATAATGTCTGGCACTGCCTGCTTGTTAAAGATGATGTCTGGCACTGTCTGCTTGTTAAAGATAAGGTCTGGCACTGCCTGCTTGTTAAAGATGATGTCTGGCACTGCCTGCTTGTTAAAGATAATGTCTGGCACTGCCTGCTTGTTAAAGACAATGTCTGGCACTGTCTGCTTGTTTCATTTATGATGCCTGGCACTGCCTGCTTGTCTCATGATGTCTGGCACTGCCTGTTGGCCTCACATATCTTGTCTGGCACTTCCTGTTCGTCCCTTATATGATGTCTGGCACTTTCAGTTCGTCGCTTATATGATGTCTGGCACTTCATGTTCGTCTCTTATATGATGTCTGGCACTTCCTGTTCGTCTCTTATATGATGTCTGGCACTTCCTGTTCGTCCCTTATATAATGTCTGGCACTTCCTGTTCGTCTCTTATATGATGTCTGGCACTTCCTGTTCATCCCTTATATGTCGTCTGGCACTTTCAGTTCGTCGCTTATATGATGTCTGGCACTTCCTGTTCGTCCCTTATATGATGTCTGGCACTTCCTGTTCGTCCCTTATATGATGTCTGGCACTTCCTGTTCGTCCCTTACATGATGTCTGGCACTTCCTGTTCGTCTCTTATATGATGTCTGGCACTTCCTGTTCGTCCCTTATATGATGTCTGGCACTTCCTGTTCGTCCCTTATATGATGTCTGGCACTTCCTGTTCGTCCCTTATATGATGTCTGGGACTTCCTATTCGTCCCTTATATGATGTCTGGCACTTCCTGTTCGTCCCTTATATGATGTCTGGCACTTCCTGTTCGTCCCTTATATGATGTCTGGCACTTCCTGTTCGTCCCTTATATGATGTCTGGCACTTCCTGTTCGTCCCTTATATGATGTCTGGCACTTCGTGATCGTCCCTTATATGATGTCTGGCACTTCCTGTTCGTCCCTTATAAGATGTCTGGCACTTCCTGATCGTCCCTTATATGATGTCTGGCACTTCCTGTTCGTCCCTTATATGATGTCTGGCACTTCCTATTCGTCCCTTATATGATGTCTGGCACTTCCTGTTCGTCCCTTATATGATGTCTGGGACTTCCTATTCGTCCCTTATATGATGTCTGGCACTTCCTGTTCGTCCCTTATATGATGTCTGGCACTTCCTGTTCGTCCCTTATATGATGTCTGGCACTTCCTGTTCGTCCCTTATATGATGTCTGGCACTTCATTTTTGTCTAATATACGGTTTTTCTTTTTTTGCGCTGCCTCTTCATTTCACAGTTTCTCTTTGTGATTCATTCTGAATTAGTGAACTTGACAGTGAGACTTTTTTTCCTTATGTTGTAATGCTATCCTTACTTACGTTTAGTACTGTCGCTACTTGCTCTTCTGTTGTGAGAGTGTGTTGGTGTTGTGATATGTGGGTGTGGGGGTGTTGTGGGAGTGTTGTGTGGGGGTGTTGTGGAGTGTTGTGTGGGGGTGTTGTGGGAGTGTTGTGTGGGGGTGTTGTGGGAGTGTTGTGTGGGGTGTTGTGGGAGTGTTGTGTGGGGGTGTTGTGGGAGTGTTGTGTGGGGGTATTGTGGGGGTGTTGTGGGAGTGTTGTGTGGGGTGTTGTGGGAGTGTTGTGTGGGGGTGTTGTGGGAGTGTTGTGTGGGGGTGTTGTGGGAGTGTTGTGTGGGGGTGTTGTGGGAGTGTTGTGTGGGGGTGTTGTGGGAGCGTTGTGTGGGGGTGTTGTGGGAGTGTTGTGTGGGGGTGTTGTGGGAGTGTTGTGTGGGGGTGTTGTGGGAGTGTTTGTGTGGGGTGTTGTGGGAGTGTTGTGTGGGGGTGTTGTGGGAGTGTTGTGGGGGTGTTGTGGAGTGGGTGCATGATGATGGAAATATAAATACATATGTAGTATAATGTGATCCTTTATTGACTACGTTTCGCCCACACAGTGGGCTTTTTCAAGTCACAAACAGATCTGTTTGTGACTTGAAAAAGCCCACTGTGTGGGCGAAACGTACTCAATAAAGGATCACATTATACTGCATATGTGTTCATATTTCCATTGTGTCGGTATTTTATACCATTTATTTCCACAGTGCTTGATGATGTTGTGGTGTGGAGGAGCGTGGGTGTGGGGGTGTTGTGGGGGTGTTGTGGGGGTGTTGTGGGGGTGTTGTGGGGTGTTGTGGTGTGCGTTGCTGTTGTGGAGGAGTGTGGGTGTGGGGGTGTTGTGGGGGTGTTGTGTGGGTATTGTGTGGGTGTTATGGTATGGAGGTGGTTCTATTCCTGTGGGAGATGGTTTGAGTGAGCCCATCTTTTGAGGGTGGAGGTTATTACTTTCCCGTTTGTGTATGAGAAGTGGAATAGTTAAGTTGTGGTAAGTTGGAGTGGTGTGGGATAGGTAGTGAGATAAGCGGAAAGACGTGAAATGGAACAGCAATAGACGGATGGCTAGGAGGAAAAGAAAGAAAAGGGTGTATGGCCTGGAAAAAGGAAATAGGAAGAAAAGTGATGGGGATGGGGGAGGCTTATATTCATTAGTGATGTGTGTTTGTATGAGTGAGTGAGCGCGTGGTTTGAGTGCATGAGAGTGAGCTTTCGAGGAATGTGCAGTATCGAGCTTTGAATAACCCTATGATGCCATTGGTCTTTCACTTTCACAATCCTTCTTCTCCCCTCATCCCCCTTCTAACAGGATGATGACCACTTCTGTACAACTGTGATGGTACTCTCTCCATCATTAATGCTGGTGGCTTTATGACTATATATCATACTTACCACCACCACTATTAAATCCACTACTACACACCATTACCTACTTCACAATCGCCGACTCCTTGTTACCACAATTACACCACCTTTTCCACCAATGATATTAGCTTCACCACTACCACCGTCACCACCTACTTAAACACTCTCGTCACTACACCAGTCTTCACTCTTCATTAAACTCAATATAACGTGAGAGAGCATTGTAAGTGAATTTTTCAAAGAACACTCAAAATACCGCCCAATCATGTGCGTCCATAAACAGCTAACTGGAAAGCCCAAACACCAATCACATTGAAGATTAATCTGAGGCTGGTGTGCAAGTGGAGGCTGCAGGGGGAGTTGCTGGTGTTGTCGTAATTTGACCGACCCAGATTCGAATGGATGAAAATATCTGAAAACGAAATAAAAAAATTTTCTCAGAGTATTTATTGCAAAAAGGAAAGTTGGAAAAACAAGGACAAACATGCAGTTTAACGCGATACTTTACCGACAACGTTTCGCCCACATAGTGGGAGAGGGATTATCAAATTACAGCCACATAGGAAAATTATTTGTTATTAAAAGTCTGAAGCTATAAAAACGTTAAAAAACGTTATTTAATTAGTCATTAATTAAGTCTGAAACAAATGAAAATGAGATAATCATTATATACTGCAAACTCTTACCAACCTACTTTTTAAATGAAGAATTTTTTTGATAACCTCAATACACACACACAAATTATTAAGCTCTAATGGATCATAAAACTCTGTGTTAATTTGCATTAAAAATTAAATGAAGAGTTAGGATGTCCACCAAAATAATTCGACAGAAGTGTTAAAGTAATAGAAGAAAATTAAATAATTGTTACATTCTTAAGAAATTATTCTTGATACTGATGTTAGTTATTATTGTAAATGATATATTTAATACATTAATTTTTAAAGGAGTGGACCTGTAAACCAGTGGAAGGTCTCGATCAGATCACTGAAACCTCCAGTGGCGGGTCGTCTTATAACTAAGACCCGCATCAGGAAATACTTGTCCTGTTTCCTGACGAATCTTATTTTACCTAACCTAACCTAATCTAACCTAACCTAACTTAACCTAACCTAACCTAACCTAACCTAATTTAACCTAACCTAACCTAACCTAACCTAACTTAACCTAACCTAACCTGACATAACCTAACCTAACCTAACCTAACCTATCCCAACCTAACCTAACCAAACCTGACATAACCTAACCTAACCTAACCTAACCTAACCTGACCTGACCTGACCTGACCTGACCTAACGTAACCTAACCTAACCTGACCTGACCTGACCTGACCTGACCTAACGTAACCTAACCTAACCTGACCTGACCAACTCTAACTTAACCTGACATAACCTAACCTAACCTAACATAACCTAACCTGACCTGACCTAACCTGACCTGACCTAACCTAACCTAACCACACCTGACATAACCTAACCTAACCTGACCTGACCAAATCTAACTTAACCTGACATAACCTAACCTAACCTAACCTAACCTAACCTGACCTGACCTGACCTGACCTGACCTAACCTAACCACACCTGACCTGTTCTAACCTAACCTAACCTAACCCATCAATAAGGGTAAAGGAAAACTTCGGCCCAGATATCAAAAACCAGAAGAGCAAATTTTCCAGCTCTCACTTTCTCCCGAGATTAAAGATACTGAATTTGTATAGAATTTTTATGGAGATATATGGTATAAAAAACTTACACGGTGGAAAAGTAGATACAAGTGCTTCATAATGCGACGTTTCGCCCACACATTGGCATTTACCAAGTCAAAAACGGATCTGTTTGTGACTTGATAAAGTCCAGTGTGTGAGCGAAACGTTGCCAATAAAGGATAGTATTGTACTGACTTTGTGTCTATTTTTCCAGAGTTAAGTTGCATCACTGCTGACTTGTAGCTGAGTAGGTAATAACATGAGGTAACCAGACCATGGTAGAGATGGTAGGTGATGGTAGCAGATACCCACAAGAGGGTTATATATATATATATATATATATATATATATATATATATATAATATATATATATATATATATATATATATATATATATATATATATATATATATATATATATATGTATATATATATATATATATATATATATATATATATATATATATATATATATATGCATATATATATATAATATATATATATATATATATATATATATATATAATATATATATATATATATATAATATATATATATATATATATATATATATATATATATATAATATATATATATATATATATATATATATATATATAATATATATATATATATATATATATATTATATATATATATATATATAATAAATCTTTGCTGACAACGCTTCACCCAGACTCTCACCTATTTATGACTTGATAAAACAGATGATTGTGACTCGATACGGGTCACTGAGAAGGCGAAACGTCGTTAATTAAGATCATTTATGTCCCATGACAAGTATTTTCTGAAGCAGAGTTGTGCTCGGTGTGTCCGTCTTCAGTGGACAGATTACCATTTTGTTAATATGTTTCTTTGAGGAGAATTATCGCTATATTCAGAAGTTTTCTAATAAATATGTCCTAGTGTTTGCTTACGTGTCTTTTTTTTAAACCATATTCAGGGGGAAACGCTAAAATCGCAAGGGTAATACAGCGCCTGGTGTATGGGAAGGTAATTGCGTTTGATCAAGATCTCTTTCGCCAGCATCAAGGCGCCTTATTTCGTCAGCATCAAGGCACCTTATTTCGCCAGCATCAAGGCGCCTTATTTCGTCAGCATCAAGGCACCTTATTTCGCCAGCATCAAGGCACCTTATTTCGCCAGCATCAAGGCACCTTATTTCGCCAGCATCAAGGCACCTTATTTCGCCAGCATCAAGGCACCTTATTTCGCCAGCATCAAGGCACCTTATTTCGCCAGCATCAAGGCACCTTATTTGAAGGCTGGGAAATATTTTCTGGTATCCTCTCATTTTTATTTGTTCTCTCTGTCTCTTCCGGGATGCCTTGATGACTGTGAGGATTCCTTCATGACTGTGAGGATTCCTTCATGACTGTGAGGATTCCTTCATGACTGTGAGGATTCCTTCATGACTGTGAGGATTCCTTCATGACTGTGAGGATTCCTTCATGACTGTGAGGATTCCTTCATGACTGTGAGGATTCCTTCATGACTGTGAGGATTCCTTCATGACTGTGAGGATTCCTTCATGACTGTGAGGATTCCTTCATGACTGTGAGGATTCCTTCATGACTGTGAGGATTCCTTCATGACTGTGAGGATTCCTTCATGACTGTGAAAGATTTTTGATCTAATAAATTAGAGGTAATCTCCTTTTGCTTCATTTCTGATTTCTTTCCATAACCCCGGCTCGGTTTGGTATCTTCGTATTAAGGAGGTTCCAATAATAATAATAATAATAACAATAATAATAATAATAATAATAATAATATAATTTTTAATAAAACATCGGCCGTCTCCCACCAAGGCAGGGTGGCTCGAAAAAGAAAAACTTTCATCATCATTCACTCCATCACTGTCTTGCCCGACACTGTACTTCCCATCTCCAGGACTCAAGTCCGGCCTGCAGGTTTCCCTGACTCCCTTTATAAATGTTACTTTGCTCACACTCCAACAGCACGTCAAGTCCTAAAAATCATTTGTCTCCATTCACTCCTGTCTAACACGCTCACGCACGCTTGCTGGAAGTCCAAGCCCCTCGGATACAAAACCTCCTTTACCCCCTCCCTTCAACTTTTCCTAGGCCGACCCCTACCCCGTCTTCCATCCACTATAGATTTATACACTCTCGAATAAATAATAATAATAATAATAATAATAATAATAATAATAATAATAATAATAATAATAATAATAATAATAATAATAATAATAATACAGCTTTAAGCTGTGTGTTTACAAAGGAACACAAGAACATAGAGAGGTAGCAGAAAATTGTAAGGAATGATACCAACACAATGAAACGTTTAGATAATACTGAGTGTTGATGAGTCAAACTGGCCGGGTGCTGAGTACTGATGAGTCAAACCGGCCGGATGCTGAGTACTGATGAGTCAAACCGGCCGGGTGCTGAGTACTGATGAGTTAAACCGGCCGGATGCTGAGTACTGATGAGTCAAACCGGCCGGGTGCTGAGTACTGATGAGTCAAACCGGCCGGATGCTGAATACTGATGAGTCAAACCGGCCGAATGCTGAGTACTGATGAGTCAAACCGGCCGGATGCTGAGAACTGATGAGTCAAACTGGCTGGATGCTGAGTACTGATGAGTCAAACTGGCCTGATGAACCGTCTGCAGGAGACAGAATGTAATCTGGACGCCTGGTTACCTACATGCCAATACTGACAATTAAGAAACCGAGAAAAGGAAAAGTACCAAACGACTGGAAACTTGCAAATGTTACCTCAGTATACAAGAAAGTAAATGGGACACGTATCCTGCACTACTCTGTAGGACACGTATCCTGCACTACCCTGTAGGACACGTATCATGCACTACCCTGTAGGGATCATGTCGAGTAAACATGCTGCGTGAAAAAATCACGACCATCATTAGGTGGAAAATCGTGAAATCTTAGGAAATCAAAATTAACTTCGAAACTAAAGATCTTAAGAAATTTAGTAGAATTTTCTTGGACTAAAGTAGCCTCACAGAATGACTCGATGAATCGTAGTGACTCGACTGTAAGCAATTCACAGTAATTTTATATAGGCTTTTATGGGATTTGAGCCTATGATGATATGAGATGAATTTTTTTTTTGGTTAAAGCATTGTGATCACAGAAGAACCCAAGTGACCTTCATAAGGTGTACAGAAATACACCTGGTTTGATGACTCTTACTAGGCCGGCATGGTGCAGTTCTATTACTGACTTCCCATCGGCTCGAACCTTTAGTGCTGCGAGTTGTGTCCCCACAGATGTGGTGCTCATTGATTTCCAGAAAGCTTTCAGCAAGATACCGCATCTAACATTGTGGATCAATGTAATGGCATGTTACAGGCGAACAACTTCAGATCTGCATCAACTTGACGTAGCAGTAGAAACAGGGAGTGGCTCTGAGCTGAGGTGTCTGAGTAACTGCACATTAATAGTGAAGTTCCTCAGGGACTGACCTCAGTCCAGCTAATTTTAAAATTTGAATGATCTTGAAACAGAACAAACATACACACACTAAACAACGCTTTCGAATGATGTGACACTGTGAGCTGTACAGGCTGGCAGCACCACGTACACCATGATGGATGTGACACTGTGAGCTGTACAGGCTGGCGGCACCACGTACACCATGATGGATGTGACACTGTGAGCTGTACAGGCTGGCGGCACCATGTACACCATG